CGTTGTCATGGATACACACTGTGAGAATTTAGCTTAATACATTACGTTTTTGTTTTGTTATCCAGAATCCAATCTAAAGAGTTCACCAATAAGGCACCCCACCCCCGACCGAGTAACGAATTCTAATTTATTTGCGTGAATATATTTTAGTACGCATGTATATATACATACAATTATTATTACGTGTTGTGTCCGTCTCTGTCAATTATCTACTTCCTTCCTGGTACACAGCCATATGTTACCTGTGTGGACCACCAAACTCTCCCTTATCGACAGACCGTATCGGTCTATGAGAGAGTGTGTGTGCATGTATGTGTCTATACTTGTATATGTGCAGAGTATGTGTATGTGTTTGGTCATTGACAACGACCGGAACTTTACGGACAAAAGAGAATTGCGCGTGGAGTAATTTCAGTCGTGTGTTTATTTTTTCACTCAAACAATAAACACTGAAAAAAAGGTAAGGCTCCGTAATAACGCAAAGTTCGTGAAATATCCCTTGATGCATGAATAGCAGCACGATGTGAAGGGCAATACCACCAGCTACTATCGACCATTGTACATAATTATACCAAAGCCCTTGCACATATTGTTCTCAGACGATTTCATTATCATTAATATTATTATTTTTATTATTATTCCATCATTTTGTTTTCCGTTCAAAGATCACACAAGCAACAGTTGCATTTTAAATTGATAAAACATGATTCAGCAACAGCAGCAAACGGCAAGCAGTATTTATAAACTCGAATGGGCTCACATGCATTCGCAAGATGTGTAAAATATAGCCGGCGTACGTATGTGAGCAATACGGTTGACTGCAGCAACGAAAGACAAAGAGAATCGATCGATAGTCAATAAAAAAATAAATAAAAAATAAATCCTTAATCACGCAATAACAACGGGTTTAATGATTTGGCAAAAAAAAACTAACTGTTAGGCTGTTTTACCCCTAAGCACACGTCTTCTTTCGGCGATAATATAAACCGCACTGAAAATTGCAGTTATGTTATGTTATAATACGCATTTTATTGTGTCTATATACCATCGCCATCGCCGTGTGAGGGATGATAAACGGCAGGGCGCGCAAAAAGTCATTAAAATAAAAATAAAGCGGCCACGCGGGTACCATAAAAATAAACAATTATCACTAAAATGTATTTTTGATATGCATTTGCAAACTTGTGTTTGCTCATCATTTATCAAATTAGAAATTAAATTAGCATCAATCAATATCGATGGTTGGTTCAACGCGGGACTTCTGCAAATGTTTTTTATAATATGACACGAGACAAAAAATATGTATGAATAAACGGTAAAAAGATTGTATTAGTTTAAAATTCAATGACGAGAGAAACTAACATCCATCGATTAGATTTTAAAAAGAAATATTATGATGTAAATAAAAAAACCTGCAAATTTATTAATTTGAAATAATACGCGTACATTCAATTAAAGTCATTAGGGGTGCCTAACGGCTTAGAAGGGTCGTCATGCAAAGAATGTGAGTTGTTATTTGAAATACAGAGTGGTAATGGTGCCGAAGGTAGTGGTATTTTTATTTTTTTTATTTTCGTTAATTGGTCTACATATGCTGTACACGTTCTGCGTGTATATTATATCGTACAAAATCAATCGAATATTTATTTTTATATGCGTTTATATAGATCCATTTATATTTTGTGTGGACGGCGGTGGTGTTGTTCAATTAAAGTTAAGAATAAGTGTGCAGTTGTGTGAAATTTAAGTCAGTGAAGGACGAGGACAAATGTGTGTGTATGAGTATGTGCTTGTATTTTCCAACCCGTTCCACTTGCGTCTGTCCCTTTTCGTGCATGTATACCTACACACAGTACAAACGTGTTAGCACAGTTGTTCATTAAAAACTGTGAAAAAGCCGCAGAAAAAATAAAAGAAAGTGGACAAAAGTCTTTAAGAGCGAATTTGTATGGCTCATTTATTGCTCTCATACTACAGAGCCGTATAACCCCCTCCCATCTTCCTTTTCCATACATCGTACATATGTTGACTATATATATATATATATATATATGGTAAATAAATTGTTAATAACTATTTTCTTTTTAAAAAACTATCACGATACGACTAGGCGGCAAAACGAAAGCCGTATTATAAGAAAATAACAACCAATACTATACAATATATAGAATGAACGTAAGACGCTCGTAACGGAAATATTTACTTGCATACATATGCTTACTTAAATATAATAACCAAAAAAATTATCGTTTCGCAATACGTACGTCAAAGAGTGCCCGCAGAATCGGGTCGACGAGGCAATATGTAATACGTGTAGTCCCTATAAAAAAAATAGAAACGACCGTTAGAAGGGTGCGCGCCCCTATGTCTCGTATACGTCTTGAAGATATTATTGTTATTATTATAGGGGACCTTGTGTGAATAGTCGTCACCGAAAAGACATTTTATTGTATACCCGGAATAACCCTCGATGACTTCCTTACAAGACGTACAGCGGAGAAAAAACCGTTAGTCTTCCAGATTTTCCCACGAGCCAAAGGCGTTCCCTCACCACCTGGTTCCATCCCTCTTCTTTTAGCTTTTGCTTCTTGGCGTTCGTCTTTTGCCCGCTCTCCGGACCGGTTTTCTTTCTTTTAAACAATATTTTGTAAACACACGTTATTTTTTCCCTTCCGCTTATAAATATAATGACGTATATTTGCATAAATATATACCAACGTTGTTGTTTTTTCAGTATACCGTGATTACTACATAAAAATGTTTACCTTGAAACCATAACAAAATTACTAACTAATGTGAAAAGTTTCACATAGTCCTCCAAGATAACTCCCGTTTTTACAAAATAAATTGTTTTATTTCAGTTTATAATATTTTCAATATATATCCTTTAATCCTAACTTCTTTAAAGTGATTGTATACTATAATATATTTTAATTAGTCTTAGTTTAACCAAAACTCTGTGCGTAATTAATAAATTTAAATAAATGTATTTTATTTTATTTCATTTTTTAATACATTTAATGTGGAAAAATATTTTAAAATGAAAAACACAAAATAAATTGGGTCAATAGAATAATAAATTTAGTAAAAGTAATACCAGATTCAAACTCTTATATTTTTGGTGATAATATTATTTAATTTTATATTCTTTTATTGCATTTTTGAAATGAGTAAATTATGAATTAAATTGATACTTCGTATGCTAAAATATATGTATATCATCATAATTCTATATTAAAAAATCATACAAAAATAATCAATATTTTATATCTACATAAATAAAAGAGCAAGCGTGCAGACAAAAAATTAATGAAAATTTTGAATTTTTTTCAATTTGAAAGACACAATTTTTGTCTTTGAAGGATGTGTATAATTGTACTTGCCTGACTAGTGTTAACATTGTTATAATGCATATTAATCAATACAAATAAAATAATTTTTGACACAACAATTAGGATCATTTCAAACTCGATGTAAAATGAATAAATATAGCTGGTACAAAAATACCAAAACATTTTAAATTTAAAATATTGTTGATGAACATAACTTAATCATAGGTATAACTGTAGCTATAACAATATAGCGTTTCTAACACGTAAAGCGTTTATTTAAAGTCACAAGTTTATCAACATTAATATGAATAAATTAAAATATTTCGAAAAAACCCTATAAAAATATAGGTCCAAAGTACTATAAGACTCAAGTAGTTACCTTACATAATATGGTTGTGTATATAAAATATACCAACGATTTTATAAAACCCAATATTTTAATTATAAAAAATAAACGTAATGCAGTATTACCATTATATGCGGATAAAAATATAAACGTTAAAAAACTATAGTTAAAAATACTTCGACCCAAATCGTAGAAATAAATTACTAAATATTAATAAATATTTGAAAATGGTAAATAGCTCTACAGCTGGCGCAAACTTACTATACAAATTAAAGTCAAGAAAAGTATGTAGTTTCATTGCAGCAACTTGATTTATGAACTAATTGGGAAATATTTTTTTTTAAATAAATTTTCAAGTGTTCCTACGTACCTACGTACGCGCTAATTAAATATAGTAAGCAATTAACCTAATATATTATAACACATATTGTTTAGTTGTAATTTTTTGTTTTACCGATAAACAAAATCAGTGATTAAAATATTTAATTTTTTTTTTTTTTTAATAACATTATAATGAGAATATTTAGTTAACACGTATAGTATATTTTGTGTATTACCTACATTACTACATCACAATTCGTTCGAATTTTACTGCGCTCGAGGAGCAAGTTGAAATTATATCTCAAAGGAAGGTAAAATATTTTCAAAATCAAATTAGGTTCAATGGAACGTACCCTTAAAAACGTTTCTATAATGATAATCTGGACGGTTTTGTAACGTAAAAGGAAAAAAAATGAATAAACAAAAACCGTGTTGATGCGGGTAAACCGTTAAGGGAACCTCTCGGTGTGCGCGATGATGGAAGCGTTTTGAGATATTGTACTATTACAGTTCCGGTCGTATAAGATTATTGATTAAGCTCGAGTGTACAACGTATAATATTTGATTAAGTGCCTAATATAATATATAATATATATATATACATAAACATTGTAACGAACGATGTACGCGATGTTGTGGGCATTAATACACATCGGGTCGGAAGAAGCAGATGCATTAGGTTTTTGACATAAGGCACGAGCCGCAGGGTATTGTGTACCGTCCGACGCATTTACAGTGTGTTGTACAGTATTTATTGTCTCCGTACACACGCGCACAATTATTGTACGTTTGCGAGTAGATGTGTGTGTGCGCGCGCGCGCGAGCTCGTGTATTTCAGTGTAGTCGCAGTGGTAGTAGTAGTAACGGTGGCGATTGTAGGTGAGTGCCGGCGGTAGCAATAATAACGGCGGCGGTTTCTGCACCGTTTGGGTTGGGAAGGGGAGAAGAAAAAAAAAAAAACTCCAAACAGTTGTTGTATTTGATCGTTTGTGTGTGTGCAGGTGATCCGGTTGATGCGCGAAGGAAGGGGACCACCAATCGGAGCCGGCTATGTCATCTGAGGAGGACGGCGGCAACGGCGGTTCTACGGCAGTGGCGGGGGGAGCCGAGTGTTTCGTTAGCGGCAGCGGCGGCGGCGGCAGCGGTGGTGGGGATTCGTTGGACGGGTCCACCGACAAACTGTTGAAGAACAAGGCGAAGCGAAGCAGACAGCGCGTGGATGCCGGCGAGCCGCGTAACAGTTACTCTTCAATACCGAATTTCAGTTCGCGACCGATCGTGTCCTCGGCACCACTACTCAATCAGGCCGCCAATTTCTACGGAGCTTTCTTTGGCCAAGGCCACCACCAACAGTACTTCTTTAACCAGGGCTTTGCGCCCGGTAAAATGCTAAACGAGTTCATCGGCCGTCAAGTCAAAGAAGAAATGATGACCATGGACTCGGCGGATTGCATGACACAACCGCTGCCCGGCCTGCCGAATTCACATGCTACCGGCCCCAACAGTGAGCTGGCCCATCACATGCTCCGGGACATATTGCAGGGCAGGAAGAAGGAGTTCCTGGCTCTGGAACAGGAATTCCGCCACTCCGACGATCCGTCGTCACCGGACAACAACATCATGAACAACAACAACAACATCAACAACAACAAAAACGACGTCAGCATGGACGATTGTACCAGCGCCGCTTCTAAGGAGCCCATGGAAATCGTCGACGGATGCAACAAACCGATCGAGCCCTCCGAGGTAAGCTCTATTAATAATAATAACAATATGATGAACAACCACGACGTGGATGATCTGAACGAGGGTAGTGATTCCGAGAGATCTTTGGGGTCACCGGTATCCGATACTAAAGAAATCACCGCAGAAGAACAGAGCAAAGATTCCGAAGTGAAAGTTGAACAGAACGAGTTGAAAAAAGCCAGAGTAGAAAATATAGTGTCTACCATGAGATCCAGCCCGTCACTGCCCGTACAGGTGAACGGTTGTAAAAAACGTAAATTATACCACCCTCAACAACACGATAACAGCGAACGATACAATACGATTGACGGAGACGACGACGATGATGACGACGAAGAGTTAAGTCCAAACGAACTCAGACAGAAAATGGTCGAGAAAAATGTTTTAAAAAATCAACTACGCACCATGCAAGAACAGTTGGCGGAAATGCAACAGAAATATGTTCAACTGTGTACCAGAATGGATAACGACGACGAGCCAGAAGACGTTAGTGACACGGAACCGGAGCAGGCGGATGTTCCAGCGGCGCGGCAACACAGTCCTCCCGCAGCACCTAAGTCGACTACGCCACCGCCGATGCCATCGTCTCCTCAAATAAATCCAAATTTTTCGAAAATGGTCAAATTCTTACCGCAAACACATATGCCCATCCACCCATCGTTCAACGGGGCCTTGACACTACTACAGCAGCAAGTGCTCCAGGAACAGCACAACACTCACAGTCAGCACCACGCTATCAACAATGCAGCGGCCATGTATCTAGGAGTCAGCCACAAACTGTTCATGGAACAGGAAGCCAGAATGGCCAAAGAAGCTGCGATAGCAGCCGAACAACAGCAACAACAACAGCAACAGCAGCAGCAACAGCAACAGCAACAGCAGCAGCAGCAACAACAACAACAACAACAACAACAACAACAACAACAACAGCAACAGCAACACGGTATCCACCACCAACAACATTTAAACGCGCACCAAATGAACGTAATGGCCAACACGCCACCGTCGATCCACCCGCAGAAAGCAGCGGCGGCAGAAACGCCGGACAAAATAGCCGCTGCGCCCACCAGTTCGGGTCGACAGACTTCAGCCGTGCCGCCGCCGTTCCCCGACTTGGAAATGTTAGCGGACGCGCTTAAATCTGAAATATCCACCACGCTCACGGGGCTTATCGACACGATAATGGCGAAGTTCGCACAACAGCGCAAGCAGTCTTCGAAGCTCGCCGACTCGGAGCTACTGATGAAGGACGTGGATCGCAAGTCGCCCAGGACAAAGGTGATCGACCGCGGTAGCCACGGCGGCGACAGGAGCACGAGCCTAGCCAATGGGTTGCCGAAAATGTTGAACGGCAACATCTACGGCGGTGGAGTCGGTTCGAACCCGGCTGGCAACGGCAACGGTCTACTGCCCAACGGGCCAGCCGATATGCGAAACGGGCTGGTGAACACAACGTGCGGCTTCAACGGTACGGACGCCACGGTTCTCGGCCACGTCCGGGGTCCTCAAATGTTCACGCCCAAGGTGCACGGCTCGGCCGGCCTCAGTAACGCGGCTGCAGCGGCCGCGCTGTACTCGTCCATGAGCGGGCTACCATCGCATCTCAACCCATTCTGCATGGATCGCGAACCGGCTCCGGAACAGGCCGAGGCCCTCAGTCTGGTAGTCGTACCAAAGAAGAAACGGCACAAGGTCACCGACACTCGGATCACGCCACGCACCGTCAGCCGGATACTGGCCCAGGATTCCATGAACAATAACAACAACAATAGCAACAGTAATAACAACAACATTAACAATAACCACAGTAGCAGCAACAACAATAACAACAATTCCGTGGACACCAGGGTACCGGGAAACTTGGGTGGTGCGGCGGCCGCAATCCTGCAGCAGTCCATGCCTTGTTCCGCGGCCGACGATTCGTCTCCGCCGTCACAGCAAAGAGTTTTCCATCAGCAGTCACCGGTCGCACCACCCCAACCACCGCCACCAATGCTGCCAGTGTCGTTGCCCACTTCAGTGGCCATACCTAACCCCAGCCTGCACGAGTCCCAAGTGTTTAGCCCTTACAGCCCTTTCTACACCAGCCAACACCAAGGCGGACCGCATCACATCCCATCGTCCAGCCCACCGGGTATGTCTGACTCACCACCCCCGCCACCACAGCATCACCACGGCTCATTGCTTCATCCTGCCCTGTTGGCTGCTGCTCAACATCACAACTCGTCACCGGACCTGATGAACATGAAAGCCCGTATCGACATGTCCATGGGCAACGGTGGCAACGACAGCGTCGACCGCATATCGGAGTGCAACTCCGGAGACGGTCCTTACGACGGAATGTCGCCTATATTATCCTTTTTATACAAAAAATACCGTGAAAATTCATATATATAATACTTTTTTCAGCTATACTCTTTCTCCACTATAATATTTCGTTTGGGTAATATATTTCGACCTTTTCTTTTCTGATTACATATTATAAGACATATAGTACGTGGTACCGAAATAAAAAAAAAATTAAAAAATGCGTGTCCCCTTTATAATATTCCTTAAGAAGTCCAATAACAGTCAAAGTACTTTGCATGTCCAAAGGAAATTATACGATTTCTACAAAATAGTTTAATTCGTTTGAATGAAAAAAGAATTATTCGTTTATTGATATATTTAAACGTTGTTGCGTGTACATTTTTGATTTTAATTTTACCTATACGTGTATATAGTAGGTATTATTGATATATTATTCAGTTATGTACTGATTTCCCTTCGCCCTCACCTCCGTATGACTTCAACGATTCCAAACGATAGGATTAATTACATGCACGCATCGTATTCCAATAAATCTGTCTTGAATTAATGCTTTATCTCGACACATTAATTGATTTCGAAAATGAGGCTAATTATTGCGTTGTTATTTAGTCACATGAATTAACAGCCAAGGAACAATTTGTACAAGTGTGTGTATTATTATTATTATTATTTATTTATCCGCACTATAGGAACCCGACACTTGAATAAATACCGGGTTTTGGGATGTGTATACGTCGTGGGACATAGGGAAGCCCCAGGAAAATGTATTATACAAACGGAAGACCTATAAAAGAAACAAAACTTGCGCCATTAATTGAATTACCCGTAGCTAAGATTTGAAAACGATACCTTATCGATATTGCTTAAAACGCGTATGTGTACATGTATATGTATACACTGAACGCCGTGTATATGCAATGCGATTGTAAAATTATTAAATGTATAGACAATAATTTATTTTTTGTATGATGAACTAAAAAATACAATTTTTCCCTAACTGTTATGTATACGTCAACTCTGACACCCATGCACTTGCGAAAAGCCAAACTGATGTTCTTCTGGGTCCGATACCCCAGCTCGGCCATTCTGAAGATGTACTTCCCCGACATCAAGTTCAACAAGAACAACACCGCACAATTAGTCAAATGGTTCTCGAATTTCAGGTAAAATATTTATACAAGTTTCAGTAACTCACGTACAATTATATGTAGCAGGTTAATTATATTATACATAGACTTTAGTTGTAACACGAAGGAGGATCGAGAACAAAACAAACGTTATGGTATAATATGACGTATGAAGTATATATAATATTTATACTCGTCGACTCGTATAAATAAGCTATTAATTTTTTTATCGAAAAAAAATATATATAAGCACATGGTTGATAAAACACGAAGAAAAGTAATTCATCCAAACCATGTGGGTGTTAAATTAATTCTAGCTTTCTTTTCGTCTCCGTATGCGGGCAACGTCCTATTTTTGTAAAGCACCTGTTTTAAGTGTTTTTCCTCTCCCTCTAGCATGTAGCGAACATTATTTTAATTCCGTATGTACATACGCATATACATTTATATATGTATACCGTGGGTATTTTATTATCCGAATAGGATGAACTGTCAAAAAAAAAAATGTACTCACCGTGTATTTTACACAATATAATTATCTCGTTTCCTTACGGGGGAGGAAATTTACACTTTATTTAACATTTTCTTTTCATCGCGCGCGTGTACGCACATTACTGTCCTAATTAACGCAAAACGAATCTATACAGCGATTTCCACTGTTTCTTATTAAACGTCACGGCCATTACTACAGTAGTAGTGTAGTTTCAAAAACTAGGGGGAAACACGTATTATTGTGACTAATTTGTGACTTTCGAGGGTCGTAATACTAATAAATAAAAAAATTTAAAAAAAAAAGCATTTCATCGAGGTCAAAAGGTACGCGCGCGTATATTACTACGCAACGATAGCTACACACTTGGGATTTCCGATATATACTGAAAGGGGTAACGTATTTACAATGAAAACAGTGAATTTATTAAGTATCCCGTGTATGTAAAGTGTACAAATATATATACGGCCCATAGAAATGATTGGCTTTTCATCGCCGTCATCGTCCGTTATCCATAATATATAACATCAATTATTAACTTGTGTACGTACATAATACATGTAATATTGAGTGTTAGGTACCCATCTTCGAATGCGGCTATTCTTCGCTGCCTCATATATATTGAGTGCGTTTCGGAAAAGAGCAATATGCATGAGCTTACTCGAATCGACTCGATCCACTGAATTCCATATACATTTCTATGTATCTCACTATATAATTTTTCACGTTTAATATACACCATCATAATTTTGAGGTGCTCGACGAGTATTCCAATTATAAACAGTCGTCTTTTTTTTCTGTTCCCAACAGAGAGTTCTATTACATTCAAATGGAAAAATATGCACGACAAGCCGTTAGCGAGGGCTTGCAAAGATCCGAAGACATACACGTGAGCAAAGACAGCGAAATCTACAGGGTTCTCAATTTGCACTACAATCGTAATAATCACATCGAGGTGAGTGCTTTTCCGCCGACGATAGTGTGACAAAATGCGTTACATTGTATCGCACGATATATATAATTATTTATAATTATATCTACACAGATACATTCCATGTATACTTCGAATTGGGTTTATAATGTCTTAAAACTATATTTTATTTCAGGCTCCTAGCAATTTTGAATATGTAGTCCAACAGACGTTACGCGAATTTTTCGTGTCCATCCAAAACGGTAAGGATACGGAACAATCGTGGAAGAAGTCCATATACAAAGTGATTTCTCGCATGGACGATACCGTTCCGGAGTACTTCAGGTCTCCGAACTTCCTCGATCAACTCGAATAAACAGTATATATATATATATATATATATATATATATATTTACATATATACATGTATATATATATTTGACATCGCGTCTGTAAACTGTGCTTTTTTATGTACAATTATTATCGTTTTTATTTAAAGAAACAAAAACAAAAAAAGCTCAATACAATGAGTTTTTTTAATGGGTTATATTATATTCTATATGCATTGTTGTGTACAGTCATTTTGAAGACAAATTTTATAACATTCATGTTTTACTTTGGTTTCTAAATATTTTTATAAAATTAAGGGTGGTCTCTTTGTATAAAGAAAATATTATGTTGTACAAAAATTTAAATTTATCTTTACTTATTTTATTTTTATATAATTATATATATTTTAAAAAGAAAAATTATAATAACCTATGTATTAAAATTATATAATTATATATATATATAGGTTTTTGTATAATGAATAGTCTAATGTAAATAATAAACAAGAGACCCACCAATTTTTATTTATGAAAAAACAATATTACAATATTGATGTATAGTAGAGATATTATTGTCCCAACGATGGGTCAGTTAATGTACACAACATATTTATATTTATTAATTGATTGTTAAAAAGTAAATTTTATTCACACGGGGTACCCATTTTATTATTATTATGTATAATTATTTTTATTTTACATCAATGTTTAGGTTAGATTATATTGTTATATTCACAAATTTATAGCACTTGAAAACAACACCCGATGGTTCGTACCATACGGTGTTTTTCTATCCTCCCCTTACCCCACTCACGTGATCTCACATTATTCCGATTATTATTTATTTAGCGTAATTTTTATTTTTTAGTTTATTTATTTTATTTATTATAATTTATTTTATTTTTTTTTTTTTTTTTGGTGTGGTGAGTTTCTCCTAGTCAAATAAATTTAAAAAAAGGATCATATATAATAATTCTTATGATATTATTATTTTGTCGTTATTATTTATTATTATTATGATTATAATTATTATAATATATTATATATATTTATATACATATATACATATATATAATTTAATTTTCCCCTCTATACGCGGTACCTCTGCCGATAAACATTTTCAATTATTAATAATCATTAATCAGTTTACAGACAGCTACTTACACTACAAATATACAGAATAAAACTCATCAAGAGTTCATATATACACATACATATACGTTTAAATAATACATATATATGTTAAAATATACAAACATACACATATACATATATACAAGATATAGACAAACATAGACACACACGCAAACATACACACAACGACACAACAATTTACGAAACGTACGTTTAGCACTCGAAGAACATCGTCGCGTTCAGTACACATATAACAGACTTTGTATTTAATTTTTTTATATATTTTTCGATTTTTGCTCGCATACAATTATAGTATATACGTTTCAGAGATTATTTTTTCGGTGGAATTTTTTTTCATTACTACGCTCGTATATATTTTATTTTCTATCTAAAACCCCAAGCGGGTAAATATCATAGACAGATAATATTATATCACGAATACACACACAGCCGATCTGACAAAAATGGATACACTCAAACACACACACACGCACACACACACACAACGTAAGATACATACATACATATATATACATAGTATTAGAAAACAGCAGACAGACACATGCTATGCATTTACAGATATCTCACAGTATATACACGACATTATTTTTATGTATCCAAACGCGTAGAGAACATTCACTACATTTACTCACATTTACAACTGCAATAATATATTATATTTAAACATGTATAATAGATTAAGAAGAAAACACCCACACATACATACACACGCACACACATACAGGATAGTTGGTAAAACTCAATGGACATCGTAAATTTGCCCTATTTCAATTTTTACCTTTACGCACTGTAAACGACCCGGGTGGTGCGCGTGCTAAAGCTCACGTTGCGTCGCAAACGGGCGCACGGAAGTCTACCATAGAATAATATCATACCGAAATACAAATTTCAATAATCCCTATACAGGCCGTTATATTACAGCGAATAAATGCTAGGTACTTACGAATACAGTATATCTATAGCATCATCATACACGCCATAATTTAATAAATACACACACACACAAACACACACACACACACTGCAGGGGATATGTAATAATATATTTCTTAGATTCGACCGGTACAATAGACACATAAACACACACATAGGAAATATGTGTAATATTTTTAAGAAAAAAAAAACGTGTTTTTATACACTTTCAAAAATGGCATTGTAGATTATAACTAATATTATTTTTATTCAATATTTTCACTTATTACTACATAATATATAGAATGGATAAGGTTTCTGTTAAAAATCATTTTTACTACACACAAGGTGTACATTTTTCATTTATTTTTTTTAAGTTAACTATATGTTTAAGTTTCAACAATTTTTTTTTTTTTGTTCGGGTGTGAATATACGAAAATAATCTAAACTACTAGTCGTTTTTTATTTTATAATAGTTGAACAGTTTTTCGAGTGTGCTAAGATAATATTTACAATAATTATTATAAAAAAACTACTCATAGTCATACGCATAATATAATAATATTATTATAATAGTTCAATGAAAGTTATGCCCTGGGCTCTATATTAATAGATATACTATTAGATTTTGTTTAATTATTATTTAGATTGGAATACGTTACGTTTTTTTTTTTTTTTTGGTAAATGCAAAACAATTAAGTTTTTTTGATTCTTGATTTTATTTTTAACAAGACTGACTAGCCGTTTCGTTTATATACTAATATGTAATCACTATTATATTTTTCCCTTTCAAGTTACCGTTTTCGATAGAACATTCGTTTGCTAAAATTGTATTGGGGACACGACGAGTGCATTATATATTACACATTTTTTCAGCTTAGTTGTTATAGTATTGTAGTTATGGCTTACGTGCAAACCTTAAGAATCGATAATTTAGTGCGAATATAATTAATTTTTTTTACGTTGATAATTATATTATTATTGCTGCGCCTAGTCGTGATCGTTTAATATGTTAACTTTTGTTGATGTTTTCTTTTCTTTTTTTTTTTATATTATTAATAAAGAACAATGTAAAATGTGGCCCGGGGTATCTAATTAATGATCTTGTTTTTTGTTAGCATTTCTTTTTATTATTACATTTAATCAAAGTTGTTTACTTATATAATATTAAAATAATATAAACTCTCAAACCATATTAAGCTAATCATAATAATATGTGTGTATGTTCCGAACACACGCCTCTTATATAATAATATAAATAAATAATAATAAACTAATAATAGTTATTGTCGCATTACTATACTATCATGTACATGTAATCCTTAAATTGTTTTTTTTTTTAATTTTGTTATTTTGTTCTACTTTTTTCTGTTTTTGTTTTTTTTTTTTTTTTTTCTAAGATATTATAATATGTACCTAATAAAACAAAAGTAAACTAATGACCTAAGCATAAGACTCTGTGTATTTATTCCTATTGTTCATCGTCACCTATATATTATTAAAGTCTTTGTTCGCTGCAGTTTGTGCGTGCGTACGTTTCCCAAAAGAAACCACTTCGATGTTGTTGCAGTGTGTTGCCGTACCAGAAGTTTAACGCACTAAACACTCATGAACTCGAACCCGAAGAAATCAATTAAAAACTCGACGAAAAGTACTCGGCCACCACCTTAATCAACATTCCGAGGACAAGTTTTAAGCGACCAAATACTTGTCTCCCCCGCACACGCTGTACGCGCACACCCGAGTAGGACCCTGATCGGTAGAAGAAAAAACAAGACCGAAAGAGAACACCGAAATATCGTAAGTTTCGTACCGTCCCCCGGCCAACGATCGGCAACCAAACACGCGTGACAGTTGTTTATACTGTACGTACGAGAGGATAATATTATGATGCTCTCGTGCATCTAGTACACGGTTTGATAATTACGTATCGTCATCGAGACGGTCGTCGTTTACCGGTTATTTATTTTATCCGACTCGTACTCCCTTTTGTACGTCGAAAACATTTGTGCATTAACGGTGATTGGAGGGGAAGGTTACATCCTTTGACCCGGGAGATTTTTAAAACTATTATACACGTTTATAATGTGTAAATCATTTATACGATGTAGAAAAACAGTCTAAAATGAAATAGTTCTAAAAATAAAAACAACATTTTTCACAATCATCTGTACAACTTATCTGTACAATATTCCCTGTGTGATTTTAAATTATAATTTTATATACACTACCTGTCTCTACAGTCACAGATGAGAGAACATATGCGGACGCAGAGTTTTACATTTGAGTGTGCCCAGTAATATTTTGGTTATTTTTTCAAAATAAAAAGGGGAGGCTATAAACACGTACATGTAGACCATGTTATGATTTAAATTCTAAAAATAAAGGCTTCGTTAATGATGTAAAATAACGATTGGTAAAAAATACACGTAATTATTATTTCAGACTTATTCTGAACACTTGCAGTATTACTTACAAAAAACTAAACTTTAATTAATGTGTATGCACATATATTCTTAATTGTAATTATTCAATTTTTTATTCACATTATTCACATTAGGGTGTGCCAAGGCACACCCGACACACCCCGTAGAGCCGCTTATATGAGAGAACTTTTTCAACTCTTCAATGAGTAAAAACTGCCCAATGAATAGGATAAATTTTAATAAAAATTTTATTTGTGGTTTATAGTGTTTTAATTTGATGTTCAGAAATTTGGTATACAACTGTCACTCATTTCGAAGTCAATATCTTTTTTCTTTCCTCGATGGAATCGGTTTTATAATTTGTTAGAAAAACAAAAACAAATTAAAAAACAACTACTCTATGTCAATAAATTATATCTATATATAAACATAATAAATGTTTGTTGTGTATTCGTATTTTTATATCCCCCTTCCCGATGGAATAGTTCTAGAAACGTTACTGATCAAAACTTTTAACCCGTAATCATAGTAGAAAGCAGTGGCGGATCCAGGATTTAATTTTGGGGGTGGCCCATAGTCAAGAACGCAAATTTTAAATTTTTTTTATAATTAATAATTACATACAAATAGACAATAATTTCAAATGCGTATTTTTTTTATTTGTTAAAGACAGTGGCGCAAATAGAGGTGGGGTTTGGAGGTTGTAACACCCCCGAAATTTTTCTGAGGTTTTTCCAAATTCTTCTTGAAGATGCGAAATGGTTGATTGATATGAAATTTGAATATTATTCGTAATATAATGGATAAGAATAATAATATGACAGTATGGAACGTTTTGTAACGTTCCGTTCAACTTTAAAACATCAATAACCTTGCTACTACAATTTCTCGATAATCGATTGTATAATACTTTTTTTTATGTTATCACAATATGAAATAGAGTTAAACAGTTTAATTTGTAATTTCAATATTTTACTCATAAACTTATCTTAATCTTACTTCCTTATCCCTACCGAACACCTGCAGAAAATACTTATTTTTTTCAAATTCTAACTTTTTCAAACCTAACTTAGGCAAATGGAGGGGGGCCAAGGCCCTTCGGGCCCCCCTTAAATCCGCCACTGGTAGAAAGTTTGCTAGTACTGTTAGAAAACTTCAACAAATCTGGTGTTTTAACTCGTAAAAATAAGTTTGATGTAAAGTTTTGTGCTTTTTCACAATTTGTCGCCTTGACGTGGACATAAACTTTTGCAATGCCACTATGCACAACACTCGTCATGCAATTTGCGTTATAGTCACTAGCGAATTCGATTTTCAGCGTGTTTTTTTTTCTTAATCCGTTTTGCTATGAAAACGATTTAACTGCGGACGTCGTTTTCCATCCAATTAATAAGATCTCTAAAACTAAAAATCGAAGACTCCTTAAATTACTGCACGAATGCTGACGTTGCCGGTTCTTTGCATTCGATCCGATTCAAGATGACAGTGGATATGCACCTATTTGTGATCGCATTATAATAAAATGGGTAAGAGGTTCGAGTAATATATACTCCCCCCCCCCCAAAAATATAAAATAAAATAAACAAATCCAACGACGATTTTCGTCTCTTTTACTGAGAATCGAATTTAGGGTCGTACGATTTAAACCAATGTTTCCCCACTAGGGACGCTGTCCGAAGATTTCTTTTACGATGGCAGGCGTGACATTTAATACTAAAATTTAATATTTATCCACATTAATCAATCGTCCTACATAGCCAACACGTTTCATGTAACTTGAACGCTGCTCCAAACGTTGATAATATTATTGTCTATCGATTACGTCTCGTAAAAGTTCTCAATCGATTTGTACGTAAAATATATTTGCTCTGTTAGCTTAGGTAAATTTACATGGGTTAAATGTTGTCCTAACCACGAATTCTCTTCGACGTTCTGTTCGCCTTGGACTTAGTAACGAAATGTAAATAAGATAAAATCTTCGTGCCCGTAACTAACGGATATCTAAGAAAATATTAATTTAAAAAAAAAGCAGGGTCCAAGTTTTATTTCGGCTGCTATAGACCACGGTAATGGTACTCAATGCAATGACGTGATAAGACGTCATCAAAAATGATAACACGTATAAAATAGAAACTTATTGATAACATTGATAATGTTTTATTATTTTTAACTTTCATTTCGCTCTTACGCACACTTACCTACCCATATTATTTTTACGTATTAAATCACGTTTTGGATTAACGTTTTCGACCAACTATTGTTGTCCTGTCAATTGTTATTGATGTTTATTTGAAATAGTTATTAGTCAGAATACAGCTGGCAGCAATCATGTCCAAAACCACTATTTTGAATTCAGTATTTTCCGATATCGAAAAATTGGCTTCGGCTGAAGAATATAAAAGAATCATCAAACTCGTTGAGAAACGTAAGCACTAATGAAATATAATAATTTTCCATTGCCTTTTGTTTTTTTTTTTTTTTCTTACGATTGTAATCTATATTCCAGACATACCTCAGTTTCCTGAAGAGTTATCACTGGTTCAATCAAAAATCGTCAGCTTGATTCACTTGAATCAGATTGAGAATGCCTATAATTTTATACTGAAAAATGAAAAATTCCAGTAAGAACTCTTATATTTTAATTGTTTTTACATTTTGTTTTTATGCATTACATCATATTACACAGGTCATTTGCATTTGAAAAAGCTTATTGCTTATACCGTTTGAACCGCTCTGAAGAAGCTTTACAATTAATCAATGAAGAAACTGACCTTACAAGCAATTTCAAGGAATTAAAAGCGCAAATCCTCTATAAACTGGAAAAGTAATATTGTTTAGATAATATAAAAATGATGCTCTATTTATAAATTTAGTACTTCAGTATACTAACTATTAATATGAAATCTATGATATTCTATGATATTTACCTATTATCTTTTAACAGTTATTTTTTGCTAATTTCTTAATATTTTTCATTGAACTGTATAGTTAGGTAAATATTCATTACTCTGAGTACATTTGATGTTTAGCCAATTATTATCATTATGTCACTATTATTTCTAAAACAAGATTTTTTTAATTATAATGATATATTATTTTAAGATACTTATATCATTAGACTAAATTTCTCTGCACTTTGATATCCTAACCTTAATTGAAATTAAAATTATTTAAATTTCAATCAAAAACTAAAAATAAAACAAAAAAATTTTTCTATATAAATATTGTAGTATACTAATTTATGCTTTATTATTTTAGATATAATGAATGTTTTGATATGTATCGAGATATTATCAAACAAAGTAAAGATGGTTTTACAAACGAAAGGGTGACAAATCTAACTGCGGTTATTTATCAACTTTCTAAATTGGGAGATGTAAGTTTTTCTGCATGATGTTCTTTAAAATAATATAATATTTTCATAATTGAAGAAACAATTTTTCATTTTAGAATAAATATGACATTCCAACTGTTAAACAAGATAGTACCTATGAATTCATATACAATGTTGCATGTGTAATTATTAGTAGAGGAGAAATTGAGAGAGCTAAAGACTTACTTGATCAGGCTGCTAAATTATGTAGATATACATTGGAAGAAGAAGAAGCTACGGAAGAAGAAATTCAAGAAGAGTTAACTGCTATTAAGTAATTTTTTTCTTAAACATTATTTTAAGAGTATGTTTTTGAATAAAAAAATCCAATTATAATATTCCTAACATCAAATTAAATTGCATTAACCAAGAGTTATAAACTATATTAAAATACATAATTTTCAATTGGTTCAATTTAATAATTATTTTCTATATATTTCATTTGGTTGGTTTATGTTTTGTAAATTGTTACATTTTATTCATATTAGTAACATTTGTTGTTAGCATATTACTTGATACATAAAACTGGTTTTCCAAATATCAGGAAAACTAGAAATAAAGATCAATTTAAATAAATAATGAAATTAATGGATTATTATAAAACAACAATGCGATTTGTAATTTCTGAAATTTTATCATAATCTCCTTTTGTTTTGAAACATCACTTATTATAAAAATTAAAAATATAATAAACAGTTAGAAGAAAAGTATATTTTATATTTATTTAGAGATAAATTAGACAAATTTTTTATAGAAGAGAAATCTCCTTCCCTCTATGATCGGAAAATACTGTCTTTAAACATCTAATTTTGTAAGTAAACTTCTCAAACGTTCATAATAATTATTTTCACTCGGCCCGGACTGAATTAATTTGTTGACAATGTTATTTTCTACCCGGAGCCTTGCCGTGAGGGGACCTAGAGGGCATACGCCCCAGGCGCATGGTTTAAAAGGACGCCAAGAATTTATAAAATTATGATTTACAATTAATGATAAATAAAATAGGGCATGAATATTTTTAATTTTACCCTAGGCGCCAAATCTTAACGGCACGGCTCTATTTATATTAAATGAAGCAATTATTCTCTCCAATAACTCTTTTTTATTGAATTTCTTGAAATCAAGTTAGCATTTACCCAAATTTGTTTATACTTTCAACAGTTCTTGATTTCAATTTTTATTTTACTTTAATAATATCATTTAAAACATTGAGTTTTATTCGTAATGGTTCTCAGAAATAATAAAAATTCAACATTTTTTAGTCTATACAAATTATAATCTATCTTAATCATTATATTATTGTTTTTTTTTTTTATAAGAATTATACATAGTGTACTTTGTTATTTTTTAGGGTTCAAGGTGCTTATTGTTTACAAAAGTTAGGCCGCGATAAAGAAGCACAAGCTGAATACACGGAAGTATTAAAATATAAACCAAAAGACATAGGATCATTAGCTATTGCATCAAATAATTTAGTTGTATTAAATAAAGAACACAATGTATTTGATTCCAAAAAGAAGCTCAAGTCAACTTTGTCAGATGAATTGACACTGAAGTTAAATACCTGGCAATTAGAAAGGATTACACTGAACCATTGTCGCTTTGCATTAATGACAAATCAAGTATTAATAATATTATCAGTAAATTTCTGAACAATATTTATTAATTTATTATTTCTCTCAGTTAGATCAATGCACTCAATTGTGTGACAACATTGAAAAGAAATACCCTGATCAGATTGAGGATATTGTGTTAATAAAAGCAGTTATGTTATGGCGTCTCAACAAAAATTCTGAAGCTATTGATTTGTTAAAAAAATTTATATATGAACAAAAACGGCCAACTGCTAAACTTAATTGTACTTTAATGGCTGTAAAATTATTGTTGATGCAGGTAAAACTGAATAATTACTATATTTAGGAATTGTGTACAGTTATCAGCTTCATATCTTATTTTAATTATTTTAATATAATTACAATAATTCTATAATTTGGGGGTGACATATATTTAAATAAAAATTAATAAAAGTTTATTTAATTTAATTATAAACAAAAAATAAGCCAAATAATTTAATGTAAAAAAAATATAAAATTATCAATCCACTTAAACTTTTTTGGTAATACCCTTGACGAATGAATGTCATTATAAATTATTTATGAATACATGTTTCCAATAAATAAATTAGTTTATTTGTCATTACAGAATATTGTTTTATAAATTAATTGACATTCTATAATTTTTATTAATAAGTAATAACAAAAATATTTGTTTCAATGTCCAATCATAATTATTGTATGGAGACATTGAGATGCTCGATAATTATTTTTTAAATTCATTATATTCTTAATTAAATGTATTATAAATTGTTTCAGTTATGTCTTATTATATATATTATATTAAATTACACGGTATTCAAATATTTAAAATATAATTTAATTTTTCAATATAACTTAATTAATCAATGTATTGATAAATAATCATTCAATCAACTTAATCACATCTAAATGTATTTAATTAGTATTTTCTCTACAAGGAATAAATAAATATTAGGAAAATTTAAATACTGTTTAAATAACTGTTTACTCATTCATTGATTCAAAACACAAATAAACTTACTGTGGTTTATATTAACACGCTGACAACCATGCATCTACCGGTGGCTGTACTTTTGTTTATTATTATTATTATGAGGCCTTTCAATCGTTATATAACCATATACAAAGGTAAATAATATATTAAAGAGTAGTTTTCTGTTATATGCAATATAACAATTCTAAAGATCATTACTACAACATCAACAACATTATTCCTATGTAAAAGAATAAGAGAAATGCAACCGTATTGTCTCACAAAAATAAAAAATTACAGCGGCCGAGGGTTTAAAATTCTTAATCTATAACCATATTCTTGTGCGGCCAGCGGTTATATGATGCTCAACGTTTTAATACATATACTAAATTAAATATGGTATAACAAAGTAGTAGTAGTAGTCTAATATATGTTATTGATAATAGTTTACTTTATTTAAATGTATTTATTTTTTTAGAACAATACCAATGAAGCAATAACTCTACTGCAAAATCTTGGAGAACTAAAATATAAGCTTGGAATTGTAAGCACGCTTGTTACGTTGTATTTAAACATTAATAATTTTAAAGCAGCATCAGACTTATTTAATGATACTTTGTCTTGGTATAGTCAAAAAGAGGTAAAGTTACATTTTTATAGACAATTAAATTTTTACAATGTGGTATTATTCCCTTATTATCTTTTTAGGTGGACAATTCAAAAATAACCATCTTATTAAAACAATTGGCAAAATTACATTTACGTGAACAAGATCCTAAAGAAGCAGCTAAACGTTTATCACGATTACTTGAACTAAATCCTACGAATAAAAAGTTTTTGGCTCAACTTATAATTGCCTATACACAGGTGTGATAAATATTTTAACTTCAAAAAAAATTTGTAAACTAATTTTAGTCGATTAAAATTCTTGAAATTATGACATATATAGCATTAACTTTTACTAATATATAAGAATTTTCACTCAATGTAATATATATATATATATATATATATAAATTTTTTTATTTTATAATATTATTGAATTCATCTATATAAAATTTATAGTTAATTCACATTCAAATACTAACTTATCTCTGATTTATTTTTAGGTTTAATTTGTTTTATTAATATTAACTTAAATGATTAATTGTAATTAAAAGAAAAAATGATACTGTCCTTTTTCAATTTATTATTGTATTACTTTTATTTTCTTTTTATCAACAAATCATTTTTATTATTATTTGTTTTTAGTTTGACCCAGAAAAAGCTCAAGAATACAGCAAACAACTTCCGCCATTAGACCTCCAGGATACTGACATAGATTTACTTGAAAACACTAACTGGATGATGGGATCTAAACTTATTAAAAAATCCACATTAAAACCTGATGCTGCTGGGTATTTAAACAAATTTATCTTACTAAAATGTTGTGTTTGTTTTAAAGTTCATGATAATTAATTTATTATATAGTTCAAAAGCTGAAGTGGAGAAAAAGAAAAAGAAGAAAAGGAAGATTATACTGCCTAAGAATGTCAACCTAGATGTACCTCCTAATCCTGAACGTTGGTTACCGAGACATGAACGAACCGGATACCGTAAGAAAAAAGACAGAAGAAATAAAGAAACAGGAATTGGAAAAGGAACACAAGGTGCCAGTAATATTTCTAGTGAGCAATTGTAAGTATTAAGTATCTAACTTTTATAATTCAATACATAATTCGACATTGATAACATGACAGCTTTATTTTTCCTCGACCTTATGAGCACTTTGTTCCGAATATAAGTAATTTTTGCTTAATAATTCACCCCTAATTATGTCCCAATGACTATGAATTATCGACTTAGGATTATTTATAATTAACTTCCCATGACTGACATCAATAAAACTCAATTTTTTTATTGTTAATTAAATCAATTAAATATAATAAAAGTGCTAAATAAGTGATGGTAATTATTATAAAATTATATTTAATTTCAAGCAATAATGGTGATTACATAATTGAACTTAATCAATATCATTTTTATGGTAATTTAAATATAATTGAAATATAAATGTTTATATTGCATGTGATATAATTGTCTTAAAATTATTAATTAAATGTTTGTTATAGTATCTGTTATTTCTGTGATAAAAATGTTTGTAATCTAATACTTTTTAATTAATTTGTTTTAGTAACATCAAAAATATTGCGGCTCAACCAAAACCACAAACCACTCAAGTACCTTCTGAAAATGCACCTAGGCTTCAACATCGCAAGGGACAATACAAAAAGAAGAAGAAGGGAAAATAAATACAATAGTGTATTATCAATAAATAAATTTTCTTTGATACTGAATAAGAAAACAATTACATATATATATTATACTATAGATACTAAAATTTATCTTTAACAATTCATTTATTATTAAATTTTCCTATCAAGTTTATACAAAATTTTGTAAAATTAAAAATTGTCAAGATTTAGATTCCATTCCAAATTTAGTGTTTTCCAACCATTGTTCTTTTTGTAATTTATACTTCATGGAGAAGGCACAACGGTTGCTAAACCACAGCTTTGTTTATAGTACTCAGGGTTTGACAAACAATCAATCATAAATTTCCCCAATTCATGTTTTGATATAGCACGTCCTGCTGATGAACCAATTTTCACGGTATATTCGCCCAGCGGAGTACTTGCAATGTGCGGTGGCATAACAGCAATCCAATCCAGGCCTTCAGATACTTTTAATAGTTGTAACATACGCATATGATCATCGTTAATGCCATGAAACATTGGTGGCACTTTAGATGGCTCGTAGAACAAAAATGCTGAAATATTTAACAATTAGAATTAATTTGCAACAAGTTGTTGTACAAATAATTACCAGATAAGCATACAGAAATACATTTCACATTGTTCTTTTTCATTGCTGACAAAATATTTCTTAATCCATCAGACATTATGGTAGTAGGCGCTGAAAGAAAAATTACATAAATTATTTAACTATATACAAGGTATAAATAAAATATTAAACAATAATACTTTTGCAGGTTCATTAACTAGAACTTCATAGGACACAATTTAGCAAACATCTAACTTATACATCATTAGGTTAACACGCATGTCTTTAGTTTTAGAAAAATTCCCAACACTTCTTAAATCTGATAAATTATTTTCATTTAAAATCATTAGATTTCTTTATACATTTTACATTGGGTAATAATAATCACTTGATACACTATCAACCTATAATGAAACAATCTTTAACTGAATTATGTATCTTGACTTGCACCACGCTAATTACACATACAATTTAATAATGGAAAACGAATTGATAGAACAACATTTAATTTTCTTAAAACAAATTAAAATTGTTGAGTTGTCCGATCAAAATAAATTTCTAGAATTCGTTTTTAACAGTGAACCAAAGCATTTTCAACTTGTTTATAGCTAGTGCTTTCAATTTTTAGCCCAATATGAGTGTTTTTTTTTAATTTTTTAAGTAATACCGAGGTCGTTTCTTGTTCCCAAAGTTACAACAATGGCGTCTCTACCAGCGACGGCCTTGTCCACATGCTCCTCGACCAACACGTCACCCGTGATCACTTCCACTTGTTTGAGGAGTTCCTCGGGCATACGGCTGGGATCCCTGACCAAAGCCGATACTTCTAGACCTGCGAAAACAACGTGCTGATCAAAAAGCATCGTCTGGCTGATCCAACCGGACTGATGCGCGATTACCTTGTTTCAAGGCGGCTTCGACGGCGCACACGCCCGTCATGCCGGTGGCTCCGAATATCGCGATTTTCTTCATGGCACCGGTGGCTCGTCTGAGAACGCCAGCAACCGTGGAACCGCAACGTAACGCGACCGGCGACAGTTCGCCGACGAACAACGTACAACAGTTACTAAACGACGACGGAGACCGGTGACCACCACCACCACCGCGGCAAGGACGGGGAAGAGTTAGATTTATTAAATCTGTTCCGCCCGTCGATGGGAATAATTTGTTAATATAATGCCATCCGTGTGCACACGACGCGACCGAACGACCGTTCGACTCTTATCAGCACGTCGCCTGTTGATAATAATAATAGTAATAATAATATATAAGACACGACGGCACGAATAGTTTTGCGTTTACAATGTTTTTACGCACGCCAAACAACTCATCGACGTTAATAACGTTCACTCACGACCAGTGGCGGATTTAAAGGTCGTTTAATCGGCAAATTCCGACGAGGCCCCTCCTAAATTGTGTACCGAGACCCACCTAAATTGCATAGATGTTTCTTTTAAACTTTGACTACAAAAAAAAAAAATAATAATAATAATATTCTCATGCTAACCGGACTATATTCACCATCATTTAAATAATAAAATAATTATAATACATAGGAATGCTTCAAAAATAGGAAATGTTATAATTAATTAAACAAAGTAAAAAATGTGGAACAATTTACTTACGAGCGTAAATTGAAGTTATATACTAGTAATGAAGTAAGAAGAATTATTATAAAAGAAGTCCAAGAAGCTAGTTTATTTTCAGTAATGACTGATACAACCCACGACAATTCTCATAAAGACCGTTTGTCAGTTTTTTTACGTTATGTGAATAGCAATGGGAAAACAATGAAAGGCTTTTAGAAATAACTGAAGGAGTTGACAAAACTGGCTTAGGGACATCTAAACAGATTATTGAAGTATTAAATAAAAATGGTTTGGATACGGATAATTTAGTATTTCAGTCATATGATTACTCTAATAATATGTCTGGTCAGTTCAGTGGCGCACGCAGGAGGGGGGAGAAGGAACTTTATTTGTATAATATGTTTAATGCTTAAAAGCTCTTCATTCAGTGCTTAATTTTTTTATTACATCGGCTTTACCTAATATGTAATTTCAAATATTATAGATAAATATTTCTCTTACAAACAAAATGTGAATATCATACATCTATTATTCATTATCAGTGTATTTAGGATACATATACAAAACAATCAGTCTTATATAATATATACATGTCTAAATATAATGTATCAAATTATAATAGCCAGTTAATATTTTGATTGATATGAAATTTACCATAACTTACTTTGTATAAAAATTTTCCTTGGACAGTATAAATAAAATACTCTTTAAAAAAACTTAATTTTAATTTTAAAACTATACTTCAACTAGTGTTCTGACCTTGAATTTTTAATTATTAAATTTTATACATGATTGCCATATTATGTTTACTATTTTATTACACTAGAGTAATTTTGTCAATTTATGTTGGTAATGCGGGGAAGGGGTTCCTTTTAGATCCTGCAAAGGGAAACGGTGGCGACAGGGAAGGTCATTTAACTTTTTTTTAAATCTGACGTTTGTCGACCAATATGCGGGTTTCTACACCGAACGTTCGATTCAAGCCTGATTTATTTATAACAATTTAAGGTCTACAAATAAAACCCAGTCACATAGTTTAATGTTTAAATTTTATACTTAAATATGGGTAACATAATATTAATTTTAAATTAGTTAAAATTTGTATTTATTTCATTTTTTAATACAATATAAAAAAATATATTTTTTATAATTTAATGCATTATTTAAAAATTCGAATACTATTCAATATCCCTTAAAATATAATAAAATACTAATACGTTTTCGAATTATGTATTTGAACGTGTTTTACAGGAGTCACATTCATTTTGAACACGTTTTCCGGTGTACATAACTCTATAAACATTAATTCTATTATACACAAGGCTTGACGTCGTGCTAATTATCATGACAATTTAAATTCTCAAACGTTACAAGACCCAACTCAATTATTAAAATGTTAGAATACGTTATGATATTATGTTCTGTAACAGTATCATTACAAACATACGATGGGAATAAAAAATTAAGTTGAATTGTTGTTTAGGAGACGGCCGAAATAATAATAAGAACGACCTAGATTTTCAGTTCCGTAATATTTATTTGCGTTGACAATTTTGTCGTTATATATTCATAACGTAATATGCCTGAATGAATAATGATTATACTCGAATAAAATTAATAGAGTTGCTAATTTGCACGGTGACGTAAGGTTTCGTGAGATCTTCGCCGACCAACCGTGCAATTAGTGCGTGCCTGATCTTGATTACCAGGGCTCGGGAGTTAAAGCATTTGCTTATTTTTATGGATTGACTTAAAATATAGCAGAATGCCATAGAAGTGTATATCAAATTATAACACGTACAATTATAAAATTTGGAAGTGCCTTTCTTTGCTTTTTTCAAAAATTTTTCAAAAAAAATGCTTATTTCCAGTTTTTCTGATTATTTTTGTTTATTTGACCAGTTTTTTTTTTTTATGTTTTTATAGTTTTCTCCTACAAAGCTGTTTTAATAGAATTAAAATTAAAAATAATTCTTATCTACGTTACCACATAGTTCGTCGCTGTCTAAGGCATCGTTGTAGGGTAAACAAAGATATTCGAACCCTGAAAATAGAACTGAGTGTCAAACTTCAGAATGATCAAGAACAGAGAGAATAGTTTAAATTTTATTTTTCAGAAAAATCCCTTAGAAAATCCATAAAATCCTTAGTTTTGAAAATAAAGATTTATTTTTATTTTGTTTGATTTTTTTAATTAGAATTTTATAGGTTTTTTTTTTTAATAAATATTTTTGCTTAATTTGAAATTTTTTAAATGCTTATTTAAGTACTTGCAATGATTTTTTTAAACGCTTTTTAAAGTGCTTATTTTAATGATTTTAAGTGCTATAAGTAAGGACCGGATTTATATGCACAAAAAAATCCTCAAAATATGCTTCTAAAAATGCTATAATATGCTATAAAATATGTATTTATTTTTAAATATGTACTTAAATATTCACTTAAAATGTTGTTTAAAATTATGTACAAATATGTGAAATGTATTATAAATACAAAAATAATCATCAATTAATACGGTATTAAAAAAAGTATAAAAAAGATTTTAAAATATTTTGTCGTCTTTGTCGCCATTGATCATTCTTTATCTTCAATCTATAAAGTATAAATAACCACATTAATAAAAAGTGAAAACAAAAGTTGAATTCATATTTTACCTTATTGCATTGGATGATATGAGTATGTAATCTTATCTTTGGAAATAAACACCGGTCGCAATTTTATCGATATTATGTGGTAGTGATCGTGAAAATACGACGAAAACGAATATATGTGCTATTAATAATAATATGTATTATAAAACTATAAATATGCATTGAATATGCATTTAATAGGTAAAAACGTTGAAATATGCAAAATATGCAAAGTAAAATTAGTTTTATTTTAATAAGAAAGATCTAAATCGGGGACAATGCTCATCAGATTTCAAAAAGCTTATTCCAATACATATATACATTTGCATAAAAATCCGGTCCCTAGCAATAAGTTTCGAGCCCTGTTTATTACATATTATTATAATATTATATTTATTAAATCTCAACAATGCCGTGATTTAAACTATCGTAACGTTATGCATTATGCGCTCTCGTTAATATTATTAAACTCGTGTTAGTGTCTCCGAATCACAGAAATAATCATATCTTTTAGATGTCTACACAAATCACAATGTGGTGACGGGTTTGCAGATTCTCGTATTAAACGTTTAGAAGTTGATCGCTACAAAATATAATATTTAAATTGTCTACAACTCCTGTTCGTAAATACTCTATATACATATTAATCATACGAAATTCGAATCCTAGAACCATAACTATTTTAATACTTATTGGGTTTTGAGTAATGTATTTTTCTTCGGATTTATCTAAAAAAGGCAGGTTTAAACAGTTTTTTTCTTCGGATAGTTCAGGAACCTATGAAACAATTTGTAAATACGCGTCATACCAGTGGTAAATTAATGTGTTATTGATACCCTTAGACAAATCGTCATGACGTGAAACTAACGTACTTGGCTGTAATAATAGTTGCGTTTAGTGGCTCCTAACTATCAATTGGGTCATTTTAACCAAATTATTGATACTCTTTGGCCGATGGAAATTGTTTTATCACTTTTATTTATAATTAACAAAACCAGTAAAAATTAATTTATTTATTCGTTTTGCTTTAAATGAATCAACGATGTTACAATTATATCAACAAAATGTAATATAAATAATATGCATGATGAAATCCATTATTGATAATAAACAGATCCTAAATATCAGTAGTGATAATAATAAAAGTAATGACACTCATAATGATGAAAACATAAAAAACAATAAAAACATTCGATTTAACATGTAGATAAAATCAGTATAATGAAATAATGACAACAATAAATATATCAATTAAATTATTATAAATATTTAACAATATTTTTAAATTTGCATTACAATTAATATTTCATCAATAAAATTAAAAATATTAAAATGATGAATAATAATAAAATCTTGATTTGGAAAAATATGATAGTTAAATTACAATTGACAACACTAAAAAAGTGATAAATCAAAATAGTATTATGATATTTTTAGAATAATTATATTTTATTAAAAATTTTAAACAAGATAACCTTGTTTAGCGGCTACACACATGTGTGCAATGGATAAGAAAAATTATTTTTGTGAATATTATGGAGCGAAAAAGTTAAAAGTATTATTAAAAAATAAATATAATTTTATAAATACAATACAAGAAATACTTTATTATATTATAAAATACATGGTATAACTGCTTAAATACTATTTCAGCATAGATTATACAGTTATATAATTTATCTAATCTTTGATTTTAGCGATTATACTAATAATATAAAATGATGACAGGAATATTGCATATATACTACTGTTTTTTAATACAAACTCATCTCATATGCAAAATAATAGTGTAAGACTAATTTGATGAAAACTTATGAACATCATGTTTAAAACATAATGTTAACATTTTTTAACGATTTAACCTTTTAATGATTGCTCATGAAATTTTTAGGAAATTTGATATAGTGGTACGTTTTGGTCACGATTTATGTTCAATTTTCAATCAACTGGTGTATGTTATAAAATTATCAACAGTTTCATTATATTTCATTATAAAGAATTAACCCATTACTTTTAAAAATTACATTGATTACATAAGAAAATGTTTTTAAACAAA